CAATTCAGAGGCACATGCACGTAGGATGGCATAGAAACAGGGATCATTATGGGACATGACTCGGACGGGCAGTCGGCGGCAGGCGAAGCCTCGGAGAGTCACGAGACATCACCGGAGGCTTGCATTGAGTCCGTGATACTATTTATTCTTGAACTATCGTTGAGTGGCTTTACTAAGGAGCAGTACTCAACGTAAATATTTATGGAATAATGGGCTTCCTGAGCTTGAACATTGCTATGCGGTCCCTGCGCCACTTCATGGTCGCACGCCCGTCGCATGTACAGTAGTCCTATCATTCTATCAAGTACAAGACAGGTCCGAGGGCGGAGCTTTACTACCTACGTGGCCGTCATCCCGTCATCTCCGTATCCCCTGACATTGCGTTCTCCATCCCTCCGCTTACCCTGCTGCGATGCCTCCGATTGCTAGGATCCCAGGTCCTAAGAACCTTGGTCTTCTGGGGATCCAAGTGCCATCCTCTTTCTTCGTCCGGTCAGCCTGGTCGGAGTCTCTCCTCAGTCCTCCGACACACTCTCGGCGCCGGAGTCGTCGTCAGAGTCCGGGATGTCCAGCCCGAGATACGTGAGTACGGCGTGGCACACCCTCACTAGCTGGTGTATGTCATCTGCTGCAGAGATGAGCTGTCGAGCCGGCAGACTCGCTGCGCTTTCGTTCCCACTGTCGACCACCAGCCCGGAAGGGGCCCCCGCAACGAGGTTTGCGCGGAGCTCCGGTCGTGCGCGAGGCTCTGGGGATGGCGTTGGTAACGACTTTGGACTGCCCGGGGTGCTCTCGGACATTGGACCGCGCGTGCAGGTCACCCTCAGGGCGCCGCAATGACAACAAGACCGGCCGTGCTGCGCTCCCCCAAAGGTGTAACAGGGGATGCCCCCAGCTCGGCACCGGTCACAAGCTGATTCTCCGTGAGCTTCGCCCTGTTCAACGGCGGCCCGCAGCGCGCCCTGCCCGCCCGATTCCCCGGAGTCGCCATTGTCTGCCCGGCTTCGTGTCCCGTCGGCGTGTCTCAGCTCCGGTTTCCCAGCCCCGCCGGCTCGGCCTCGTTCACGACGGGACCCCAAGAGAAGTTTCTTTTCCACGAAGTCAGCGCCTGATGTCCGGAACGCAGGAGATGGCAAACCGCTTGAAAACTGACCTCTTTCTGCAACGTGGGCACCGTTGACACTGTTTTCAGCCCTCGAGGGACCTTTCTCCCATACGTCCTGACGGGTCGGGGTGCGTAACGAGTCGGATGGTCATCTGCAGGCCCGATTGGCGTCCGGTCGACGCCTTTTCCGTCCCGGACCTCTCGAAATTGCTCCAACTGCTTCTTTGCCGCCCTTTCCCTCGCGCGCCACGCGAGGACCTCTTCCCCAGCCTCTCTGCCCTTCTCCGATCCCCATCGCTCCGCCTCCGTGTACCATTTCGTGTCCGCCTCCGCGAACTTCAGGATCGCCGTCTCCTCGTCCGAATATTCTTCGATAAAGGCGTGGCGCGACGGCCTCGGAACGGTGTACTTGGGACACACAGGGCGGGGTTCAGGCTCCGTGAATTTGAGGTCCTCAGGTGTGAGAGCTCGTGCAGATGCTGACATCGCGCGCTGGTGGGGGGTTTGGGTCAAGTCAGCGTCCACTTCGCCCATTTCCTTTATAACTTTTCCCTCTGTTTGGCTACTTGTTTGGCTTCCATTCCCTCCTATTTTCCTCTCCTTTGCTCTCAAATTTACGTGACTGGCCCATTGCAGAGCCCCGAGGAGGTTGAGGTCGGCGTCGCATTGTGGCTCTCTGGCGTGACGAACATGGAGAGTAACTATGACGAGTGTCACCAGTCATTGATAAGCGAGACTAGTCGAGACTACGCATAGCTACAGGCGAGTTGACGACGAACCAAACAGAAGACAAACAGAGAAAAGACATATGAGGGACATGCCAGTTTGATCCTCGATAGTCCCCTGACACGAAAGAATGACGGCAATTGACCGTTCACCTACTAGTGACCTCTGCTCGGTCCAACCGGGCGCCCGGCCAAGCCCTCCGGACGCGGAAGCCTTTCTCAACCGCCTCCTCACTGAATACCCGGATGAAGAGGCCGCCGTCGACGCTTTCTTAGCGGAGTGTGACGAACGGCCGGAGGGAACGGCTGAATGGGAGGCGGTCACGCCGGACGCGGAAGCCGGAGATTATGAGGGGCGTCCGACGCCCTCAACACCGGAGCGTTCGGTCACCGTCGTGGAGGTGAAGACGGAGACGCTCTCTCCTAAGACACTGGACTCGTTATATCCCATGGATTGTGACGACGAGACGGAACGAGCCATGGTGCGTCGTCGGTTGGATCAGATGCTTTGCCTTTTCCCACAGATTTGTTGACTCGGTGACAGTTGAAGGAGCGCGTGACTTATGAGGCTGGTCGCTCACGGGGCTATCTCGAGGGGTTGGGGAAACGAAAGTCGAGGCGCAAAGCCCCGAGGGCTGACACTGAAGTAGAAGGCAAAGGGTCCGACTCTCCGGTTCCTGGTGCGTCATTGAGCTCCGCCGGACTTTGAGGTGAGCTCAACTGTTTTCCAGCCTGTGCCGCCTGCGTAGCAAAGAGCCTTGTTTGCACGGTATCTACAACCGAGAACGGACGTCGATCTTGCGATGAATGCAAGAAGGGAAAAAAGCACTGCAGTTATAACAGGAAGAGGTCCCGCGCTCGGAAGGAAACGGTAGCCAGGTCGTCGCAGGAACGTGCGGAGGTTCCGGAAAGTGTCGCCGACGACCTCAATTACTTGGTCAGGGCAGCCCAGGTCTTGTTGAATCACTTCGGCATACCGGTCCCGGCGGCCGCGGATGACCCCGACGTTGACATGTGGGAAGAAAGTCCGACCGGAGAGACGGTGCGGGGAGAGCGAGGACCTTCCCGCTCCCCGGAGGCAAGTAGGGGATACGAAAGTCGTTCGGTGGCCGGTTGGGAGGCCGAAGGGGAAGAGGAGAGTTGATGCAGAAGGTCATGATATGCATGTTAGGCGACAGCAGCGCCAGGGCGTCACGGGAAGATAGTCAACTTTCTTGGAAACTTTGTAAAGGTTAAAATCGCGTAATAAGCACCGTCATTCTTCTCCTGAGCCCCCGTAGTTTCGAGACGAGAGGACCGGGAGGTGTCCGTGATGAGCTGACAAGTGGCGCCCGAAGACCAATCCCAGCGGGATCCTACCGGTATCCCCTTGAGGTTGATGGAAACAGTGCGGAGCTCTTCACGTATATCGCGGGCATTGAGAAAGACGGAGGAGGCGGAGGAGTGCGAGAAGGGGAATGGCAAGGGACCCGAGATTGGGCAATGGAATCAAGGCGTATTCACGGAACGGTGAGGGCTGCCTGTCTCCGCATCTTTGGATTGGCGGCACCTCCGAGAACGAGAGGTGCCGAAGTTCAAGAAATACTGTGGGCCCGACGTTGTTCACGAAAATCGTCGGTCAGCCGGAGTCAACGGGGTGTATACAGGTATCCGGCTCGGTCGGATTCTCGCCCGGGCAACGACGCAGATCGTGACGCTCATCCTCGGAGCGAGTCGGATCAAGAAGACATCACAACAACGTCATGGAAGGTGGAGGAACATTCGAAAACCAAACAATGAACAAATAAGGAAATTCAATATATAAGAGACGCACCAAGTAGATCCCGACTTGGGAAAGAAAAAGAACCACCCACAATTGCCGTTGAAAATGCCAAGCTTTCACCGCCCACATACTCCCGAGAACCTCCCTTTCACCGAGCCTCGTCCGGACGGAGCGGTTGCTCCCCCCCCCTCTCCGGAGCCCGCTCTTCAGAACGTCCGCCAGAGGCACGCCACCCAACCGCAAGCCGTGGCCGCCGGGCGTAGCGCCTCCAAGGTGAACGAGGCAAAACGGCGCGCATCGGAGGATTGCGGAGGAGGTCACGGGGGAAGCTCGGAAGAGGGGGCAAACTGGTCGGAACAGTGGCAGAATGCGGAGCTCGGGATGGATGAATGGAGGAGGCGGCGGGACGAATGGGTCGAACAGCGGAGGTCGGACGTGAGAGAGAGGCGAAGGGAGGGAGCAAGGCAAGAGGCGGAACCGGCTCCGCAACCCGCCGCAGGACCATCAGAAGTTGGGGGAACTAGAGCACAGGAGGCGGCGCGGTCCCCCGGCGATGAAAAGGTAAGGTTCGGTTTATCTGGCTCGTCTTCCCTTCTCCGCGACCGCACCCGAGCTTGGCGACACGCCTGGATCCGGGCGAAGCTGTTGAGCTTTTACTCACTGAACGAGTTCTGCAGCACGCGGACGGCACGGGCCAATCGACGGAGGCCAAAAGTCCGAGGTCAAAGGATCCGCCGGTTCACGACCCAGGTGCGTAGCGATAAGATCCGACTCGGAGGGGACCTGAACGACGTAACAGCCTGTGAACGATGCGCGCAAGGCGGCAGGAAATGCCTCGCACAAGTGGGAAGACGCAACGCCACCGCATGTGGTCCCTGCTCCTATCTGAAACAGAAATGTAGCCTAAGCGAGTCCGGACCGGTCCAGATCATCAAGCTGTCGGATATCCCCCCAAAACCGGAGGTCGTGATCGTGAAGAAGGTTTGGAAGCAGGACCCGCGAAAACCTTCGGAGGACGCAACTGCGACGGGTTCGCTAGGAATCGCCGAGGATTTCCACCTGCTCAATCGCGGGCTCAAGGCGGTATTGAAACACCTCCACATCGACTTCCAGAGCTCCGGAGACGAGTGGGATGACGAGGACGAGGACGAGGACGAGACAGAAGGTTGTGAGGAGTGAGGCGGAGGAATCCAAACCGGGGACCGAGACCGAGAACGAGACACGGCTGGAAAAGGGGATGCCGATGGAGGCCCGGTCATGGAAGAGTAGCGAGGAAATGAGTCCGATATAGACTGTCCCAAGACACGTTACCAGTAGACTATTGAAATGCGGAGCAAGGCCGTAGGGCCGACATTTCGCAGAAAAATTGTGTGAAGTCCGAAAAAATTCTTGTCCTCGTCGACACGAACGACCTGACCGGGAGTCGAACCCGAGCGCCTGCTGAACGAATCTTCGACGGGTTTGCAGTTAGCTGGCGGTCTAACCACTGGACTATCAGGACTTGTGAGACGTGGTCTAGCTCCTCACTATAGTCAGTAGACACACTGAAGCAGCTCCGGTGCCGGATAGTGTTTGCGGGTATGTTCATGAGAGCCTGTCAAGAGCGTCCCCGCCTCGGAGCACAATGCCGACGTGGCATCAACCGGAAAGGAACCACGTCGAATATGGGGGTATGCCTAGATGAACGCACTGGGGTCCGACGACTTGGCTCTGTGCGGTGTTTGCACGGTACCAGAGCGCTGACACAGCACGTGGTATCAATTATCTTGGCGTCTATCCTTATCTTATGGAAGCTCAACTGGGCGCCTGATGGGAGCGCAGAGAACATCTCCCGCAGCGCTTGGGGGCGGAGAGCTAGAAAAGAAAAATCGACGTTCTCAATCCCATGACCCAACCGGGAGTCGAACCCGAGCACCCATTGAACACTCGATAGGATGAATTTATTCAAGCGGTCCAACCACTGGACTATCGGGTCTTAGAGAACATGATTTCGTCTGGCTATTATAGAGCCATGTTTTCCCGATGCAAAGCCAAGCGCGTCGGGAGTCGGAGTAGTTCCCTACGTCTGGTGGCCAAGCTGTCGAAAAAACTGATATGTCCTCTGTTACGACCTGGCCGGGAGTCGAACCCGAGCGCCTGTTGTGCCTGTGCCCGCCTGCCCCTCGAAAGATGAAGAGTACGCGTGCAAATATGGTCAGGCGGTCTAACCACTAGACTACCAGGTCCTGTTTAACCTGGTTCAGCTCGTCTGATATAAATATCAGATACGCACTGAAGACCTCCCTTTCACCCGCAACTCCAATGGCGAAGGGAGGGTTGAGCGTGGGTCGGACGAGGCTCACGTTTCCTGAATGAGGAAGGCTGTTTCCCCAATGTGCCTGCCTTTTTTCTCGGAGCACAACTGCGAGGCGGGAGAGACCAGAAAGGGGCCACGTCGTCGCTCGGAGAATCCTCTCTGAACCGGACATGGGTCAGAGGCGTGCCACGTTTGCGCGGTGCCAAAGCGCCCCATAACACGTGATCACGGTCATCGTGACACGTGACATGGCCCCTGGTTGGGTCGCGGAGAAGGTCTCCGGCTTTTGCGTTGGAAGGGTCGTCCGACGTCGGAATACATAGGGGAACCCACATGGATCGGATGTAGATGGCTGTTCTATCGATGTGGAGGTGTATCTGTCGGAGCGCAGGCCCGACGGCAGGGTACCACAATCGAGTTAGGTTGCGGGGCGGAGAGCGTCTCCGTGACTCTGGCTCCCAGTCGGAACTGGACATGAACCCATGCGGATAGCCATGTTGCCGAGATGGAAACCAACACAGGTCCCATGTCGGACGGCGAGCTCCTCGAGGCCCCAACTCACTCCGGTGTTGCCGGAGGCACATGTGGGTCCGGGGACTACTGAGTACCTGACGTCGGGCGGGAAATGGCACTATGCACATGAGAGCACACCATTATTCCAAGCGACATTGGTGTAGCGGTTTACACGGTGTGCACACGTGATCTCCAGAGACGTCGACATATTCACACAGCCCCAGGTTCGAGTCCTGGATGTCGCAGGACCTTTTTGTTGGACTCCGCGGGCTTTTTGTGTCCCGGGTCTAACTGGCATTAGCCCGTAAGCGATCGGGAGCAATTGATCACGTGGAGCGGAGTACGCCCGCCCCCGCAACTAGAGTGCCGCAATGTCTACAGATAAGAGGGTTTGGGGACCCGGACTCACTCCGGTGACGTTGAAAGTAGATGACTGGGGTCCGAGGACTTCGCTCCGTGCGGTGTTTGCACGATACCAGAGCGCTGGCCACCGGACGTAGGGAACTACTCCGACTCCCGACGCGCTTGGCTTTGCATCGGGAAAACATGGCTCTATAGTAGCGAGGCAAAATCATGTTCTCTAAGACCCGATAGTCCAGTGGTTGGACCGCCTGAACAAATTCATTCTGTCAAGGGTTCAACGGGTGCTCGGGTTCGACTCCCGGTTGGGTCATGGGATTGAGAACGTCGATTTTTCTTTTCTAGCTTTCTCTGCGCTCCCATCAAGCGCCCAGTTGAGCTTACATAAGATAAGGATAGACGCCAAGATAATTGATACCACGTGCTGTGTCAAGCTGTCGAAAAAAGTGACATGTCCTTTGCTACGACCTGGCCGGGAGTCGAACCCGAGCGCCTGTTGTGCCTGTGCCCGCCTGCCCCTCGAAAGATGAAGAGCACGCGTACAGATATGGTCAGGCGGTCTAACCACTAGACTACCAGGTCCTGTTTAACGTGGTTCAGCTCGTCTGATATAGTTATCAGATACGCACTGAAGACCTCCCGTTCACCTGCGACTCCGATGGCGAAAGGAGGGTTGAGCGTGGGTCGGACGTGGGACATGTTTCCTGAATGAGGAATGCTATTTCCTCAATGTGCCTGCCTTTTTTTCTCGGAGCACAACCGCGAGGCGGGAGAGACCGGAAATGGGTCAGAGGCGTGCCATGTTTGCGCGGTGCCAAAGCGCCCCATAACACGTGATTACGGTCATCGTGACACGTGACATGGCCCCTGGTTGGGTCGCGGAGAAGATCTCCGGCTTTTGAGTTGGAAGGGTCGTCCGACATCGGAATACATAGGGGAACCCACATGGATCGGATGTAGATGGCTGTTCTATCGATGTGGAGGTGTATCTGTCGGAGCGCAGACCCGACGGCAGGGTACCACAATTGAGTTAGGTTGCGGGGCGGAGAGCGTCTCCGTGACTCTGGCTCCCAGTCGGAACTGGACATGGCAACATGGCTATCCGCATGGGTTCGGGATGGAAACCAACACAGGTCCCATGTCGGACGGCGAGCTCCTCGAGGCCCCAACTCACTCCGGTGCTGCCGGAGGCACATGTGGGTCCGGGGACTACTGAGTACCTGACGTCGGGCGGGAAATGGCACTATGCACATGAGAGCACACCATTATTCCAAGCGACATTGGTGTAGCGGTTTACACGGTGTGCACACGT